GCGGGGCACGCTAGGCGGGGGGGGTCCCGGGGTGCCGCGCGAGGCCTCGCGGAAATCCTCCCAGCTCTGGGAGCGCCCAGGTCCTGGCCAGCGTGGGCCACTGGCAGCGCCTCTTCCGGCACGCCCGCGCCGCCGGCGCCGCCTACACCGCCGCCGGCGCGAGGGCGGAGCTGCAGCGGCCGCCGAGCGACGGGCCCGACCCCGACGGGGGCTCGGACGCGTCGGGCGGCGGCGCGCGGGGGGGCGGCGCCGCCAGCGGGTCCGAGGAGCCTCCGGGGGCGCGGCATCGAGGTCCGAGGGGCTCGAGGGCTCTCTCGGGCGTCGTCGGCGGCCCTCGGCCGTGCCCAGCCTCGGGGATGGCGCTCCGGCGGCGGCGCCCTGCCGCCGAGAGCGCTCGAGGGGTGCCCGGAGCGTCCCCGTGTCGGAGAGCCGAGCTGTGGCTCGGCAGCCAAGGCCCCCCTGTCCGTGCGAGGGTCTCTCCGTGCGGTGGGGCGGCCACGCCGCGTGGGGGGTCCGTGAGGGTGCGGGGTCGCCGCGCGGCGTTTTGGGGAGGCTCGGGTCGTGCTCTGAGGACGGTCTCCGTCATCATCATCGTCCTTCTCCTCCTCCTCCTCCTCCTCCTCCTCCTCCTCCTCCTCCCTCCTCCTCCTCCTCCCCTCCTCCTCCTCCTCCTCCTCCCTCTCCTCCTCCTCCTCCTCCTCCTCCTCCTCCTCCCTCCTCCTCCTCCTCCTCCTCCCCTCCTCCCCTCCCTTCCTCGAAGGTGCATGCCAGGGGTGTAAGTGCAAATGGCCTTCTCTCCTCCTCCTCCTCCTCCTGCTCCACCTCCTCCTCCTCCTCCTCCTCCTCCTCGTCCTCCTCCACCTCCTCCTCCTCCTCCTCCGGGGCCTCCGGGGTCCCAGAACCGTGCGGCGGCGGACCGCGTCCGAGGTCCCCTCAACTAGTTGTTGGTTGTCTCCTCGTCCATCGTCTTGGGCAGTTGCTCTGTCGGTTTGCGTGGTTGGATGCCACTGCCGGCTCCGTTGACCCAACGGCGCTCTGCACCGAGATTTGGAGCGATGTGTTGCCAATATCTGAATTGCCCATCGTCGAACAAAAAAACAAAACGTGCGGCGGCGGACCGCGCGGTGATGTCGTTGGGGGCTCCGATCGGTCACCACGCGGTCTGTCACCACACGGTTTTGGGACCCCCAAGTTTTTGTTTGGGGGGGAGGGGGTAGCCCAAGGCTTCCTGTCGCTCCAGAGGAGGGAAAGCTAATTACCAGTGCCGCTGCGCTTCCCCCGTCGCCACGGCTGGGTCTTAGCTGCCTCGATGCGCACGTCTCGATACGCAACACACGTGCTGTGCTCAAAACGTCCGGCTCAATACGCTGGCGTGTTGCTGAACGTATTGGACCTCGTTTTGGCGAGTGTATCGCGTCGGACCTGCGTGTTCAGCCTACGTGTTGAGCTCCGTAGCAATACGCTGCGTGCTGCGTGTTGCGTACCGGGGCAGCCAAGGGCCGGATGCTCCTCGAAGGGGTGGCCAGGAAGCCCCCCGGGAGAGCCATGGGCCGTGGAGCAGCGGCATAGCGGTATAGGCTGCCCCCCGCCTCCCCAGGCGTCCAGAAGTTTCGGGCCCTGGGGACCATCGCAGTCAGGAGGGAAAACAAAAAACACACAGACACAATGAATCGTCGATTCCCCAGAAAATATGGGAAGATATGGGAAGTGGGGGGAAAGATAAAAGCCCAGAACATATGGGACAATATGGGGAATCCTGTTATATTTGTGTTTATTTCTTTGTGTGTCCCAGGGCCCCTTCACACAGGTCGGCCCAGCTCGAAGGGTGCCGCGGAAAGATGGGGTCTGGGGCTCTACTCTGGTCGTGATTGCTCGCGGTGTTGTAGCTGTTGTTACAAGGTCGGACCTCAGGGTTGGGGCCAACACCAAAATCGGCGGCTGCCTCCACCGAGCGAAGACGATCCTCATCTCGGTGATGGTAGTGATATTGCGGCCCCTTAGGTCGCCAGAAGATACGACCAGCATCAACATCTAGGATCACCTTCCGATGGTGGAGGCGACCCTCTGCGTGGGTGTTTGTGCCAATCTCCAGGCCTCCAGAAACGGGCTCCCCCCACTTCCTCTCGGTGTGAAACAGATCACGGCGGGAGGTGCTCTGCCAGTCTTTTGGCTTCCACAGGGGGCCCTAGTCACCAGGCCCCGGGAACCGTAACAAAAAACGACTCTGAGGAGGAGGAGGAGGGGGAGGAGGAGGAGGAGGAGGAGGAGGAGGAGGAGGAGGAGGAGGAGGAGGAGGAGGAGGAGGAGGAGGAGGAGGAGGGGAGAGGAGGGAGGAGGGGGAGAGGGGGAGGAGGGAGGAGGAGGAGGAGGGGGGCACCCCTCCCCCCCCCCCCCCCCCCCCCAGTCATCGCCCTCTCAATATACCTCGCCCCCAATCCAGGCATCCACGTTTGGACACATCGCGACGTCGGAGGTCTGGCTCAGGGGGGGGGGGAGCAGATTCCGATCGGCCCCCGCGCGCCCGCCCACCGCCGGCGGGGGCCGGCGGAGCCTCCGCCGTCCTTGGTCCGGCCGTGCGGCAGAGAGTGGCATACGCACTGCTCATCTCTAATTCTTCGAGAGTTCTTCGGTTTTTTGGGGGCCAAGGTCCCTTCAGTTCTGATTGTTCTATCCCTGGGCCACTCCCCGGCCACTGGGGGGCCAGGAACAAGCAGAAAGGAGCACCATTGGAAAGGAGCACGATGAGAAATGAACGACGTGTGGGTTAACCACTCGGGCACAGAAGCGGAACGAGGCCGCCCGGGAGGCGGAAGCGAGGAGCGTGGGCAGATGGAGAGGGCACGACATCACGTGAGTGAAGATAAGCGCATGGGGAACCAAAGGGGGGGGGACTGGCTCGGAGGGGAGGCATCGACCTGGAATCGGCGACACATCGTCCTCAGGTCTGCGATACGCCCCCGATGGCGCAGGGGAGCCGAACGGGGGGGGCCTGGCTCGGGGGGAGTCGTCGACATGGAATCGGCGATACATCGTCGACAGGTCTGCGATAGGCCCCCGATAGCGAAGCCCGCACGCTCCTGGGCGGGACTGCGGGGGCCAGACTGAAGAAGATTCGAGGGCACCCGTCCCCAGAGTGCACAAACACATGCAACAAGCACGAAGACTACTAGGGTATCCTCCCCAAGCCTACCTCGATCTCATGCCTCGGTCCGATTTTAAGGCCTAATATATCGCCGACTTGTCGACGATGCATCACCGATTCCAGCTCGAACCTTGCCTCCCCGAGCTGCCCCCCCCGAGCGTGACCCCTCAGGACCTGGGCGACTCCAGCAGCGACGGCTCCGACGGGCAGGTGCCGAGGGAACAAAACAAAGCATCGCACGAGCAGGACTTGACAGAGGTCCGCGCGGATGTTTTGGATCGGCGCTGGAGCCCCCCGCCACTGGCGCGCGGGGCTTGCCATCAGGGCGCGAAGCTAGTCGCGCTTTCGCAGTTCGCGGTCTGCCCCCCATCCTCGTTCCTCCTCCTCCTCCTCCTGCTCCTCCTCCTCCCTCCTCCTCCTCCCTCCTCCTCTCCTCCTCCTCCCTCCTCCTCCTCCCTCCCTCCTCCTCCTCCTCCTCCTCCTCCCTCCTCCTCCTCCTCCTCCTCCTCCCTCCTCCTCCTCCTCCTCCTTTATCCTCCCCTTCTTCCCCCCGTGGACGGCGCGAGAGCGCGAGAGAGCGCGACGTCTCCTCGCGCCTCACGCCGCGCGAGGCGCGAGCTCAGAGCTGCCCCCGTGGGGCGCGGGGCGCGCCCAGGGGGGCAGTCGCCGGAGGCGCCATAGGGGGCGGGGAGCGCCGAGCCGAGGAAGGCGCTCGGCCCTCCGACGGCTTGTGGGCTGCCCTGTTTACTGGGCACGTTGGTGTACGACGCCCAGACCTCCCCGCGTCTTGGAAAAATCACGACCTCCTAGAGAAGAGCCACGCCCTTGACAGAATCAAAATTAGAATTACTCGCGTTGTGAAGAAATCATCACGACGGGAGGTTTTTCGCTGTTTTCGGCCTCGGGGGGCCCTTCCCAGGCCTCGGGACCGTCAAAAAACGACTCAGGACGAACAACCGGTCCCGAGGAAAGGGTCCAGACCTCTGGGGGTCGACGTCTTGAAAAAATCACGACGTCGGGGGTCTGGGCACGCCGTTGACGGCACCACCAACCACAGCATTTTGCTTCTTCCGGTACTGCGCCACCGGGTTCTTGTCCAAGGCGTTCCTGTGCAAGCACCTCGTCCTCGGCACCGCCGGATCCCGAGGCTTTGCCTCCTCCCGGCCTCGCAGTGAGGCCTCTCTTTCTGTCCCCCCCTCTTTGTTAATTCAGGCTTCGCGCGGCCCGCTTAACTTCGACCGGAGGAGGTGCGCTCTCGACCCGCGAATTCAAAAAACTGTTTACTGGGCACGGCCACTGGGTGGGCGATCGGTGGGGGGAAAGAAAGGGTGCCCTTTGCCGGCCCCGGAGGCCCCCTCTTGGGCCCTGGCTGCCCCCCCCCATTGATCGCGCCCCTCACCACCTTCGCGGCCTCAGCTTGACCCGAGGTCCGACGCTGCGAGCAAAGACACCGGCATCGCGGGCTATACCGCGGCCAGAGCCTTGGACCACGGCATTTTTCGATCCGGATCGATGTGTGATGCCCAGACCCCCTCGAGTCATGAAAAAATCACGACGGGAGGTTTTTCGCTATTGTCGGCCTCCGGGGGCCCTTACCGGGCCTCGGGACCGTCAAAAAACGATTCAGGACGAAAAACCGGTCCCGGGGAATGGGTCGGGACCTTTGGGGGTCGCGTCATGAAAAAAATCATGACGTCGGGGGTCTGGGTGCCCCCAGGGCCCGGATGCCGGGCGAAGAGGCGCCCGCGGCGTCAAGAGATCGCAGCGCCCAGATCTCAGAGTGCGCAGTTTTTGTTCCTCCTGGCAGCCGCCGATCTCACTTGTTCAATCCATGGCCCCAGGGGTCCTGACCGCTTTCCTGGGGGTCGTTTTTCGCAGGCCAATTTTGATTGTCCTGGAGCCCGAAGGCGCCCCCCGAGGGCCGAGCTCGCGGACGAGTTGCCAGTTGAAAGAATCACATCAGCGGGCCCTGAAGTCCGATGTCTCGATTTTTGTGGAAGTCTCGACTCGCTTCCTGGCGCCAGCTTCTCATCCCGGGCCATTTTCTGACGGTCCCAGGGCCCGGCGATGGCTTCCAGATGCCGAGAACGGCGAAAAGTCAGCTCCGGGCCAGGGGGTGAGGATATTTGGCTGGCAGTCGAGGGCCAGGGGGTGCGGGTATCTGGCTGGCAGCCTGGGGCCAGGGAGTGAGGATGCCTGGCTGGCAGTCCTGGGCCGGGCGGGCGGGCACCCGGCTTGCCTTCGTGGATCCGGTGGGGCAGGATGTATGGCTGGCGTGTGCGTCTCGATGTTTGCCACACGGTGGATCTCTGGGGAGCCCTCCCAGAGATCCGAGTTCGTGATTTTTTCCATGCGGGGTCCCTGGAAGTCTCGACCCCTTCCTCAGCACCGGCTTTTCATCCTGAGTCGTTTTCTGACGCTCCCTGGGCCCGGCAAGGGCCGCTCGAAGGCGAAAAACTACGAAAAACCTGCGTTCTGATTTTTTTCGATGCGTTCCCTGTTGGTCCGCTACCGAAAATTTCCGGTAGCGCTCCGCAGAGATCGGTCGCTACCGAAATACCGAAATGTAGCGCCAGAATACCGGTATCAGACCGTTCTGAAATCCGCTACTTCAACGCCCTCAAACGAAGATCCGGTCGCTACCGAAATTCGGGGTGCGTCGAAATCGCTACCGAAAATTTCCGGTACCAGACCATCTGGGTTGGATCCCTGGGCTGCTTCCGCCCCCCGGGAGGGCGCGGAGTCCGGGCCGGACGCCTTCGCCGACGCCGTGCCGAGCTCGGAGGGCGAGGGGCCCGCGCCCGCCGCGGCGGGCGCGGCGGGCGAGGGGCCCGCCCCGGCGAGGCGCCCCGGCGAGGCGCCCCGGCGAGGAGCGGAGGGGCGCAGGAGCCGCGTCGGGCGCTGCCCTCAAACCAGGAGGGGGGAGAGCACACAGAGACACCATACCCAGGCCTCCTCGCGTCGTGAAAAAATCGCGACGGGAGGTTTTTCGCCATTTTCGGCCTCCGGGGGCCCTCGCCGGGCCTCGGGACCGTCAAAAAACGACTCAGGACGAAAAACCGGTCCCGGGGGATGGGTCCAGACCGCTGGGGGTCGACGTCATGAAAAATTCATGACGTCGGGGGTCTGGGTACATCGTCGATTTCCCAGGGAATAGGGGAAAATAGTATGGGGAGTGGGGGGGAAGACAGACGCCCAGAAAATGTGGGAAAAGAGCGCCATGCGGCGGGACTCGCCGACTCCATCTGCCCGGACCCCATCTAGGAGGCCTCTATAAGGTTGGGCAGCAAAGGCCGACTGCAGTTCCTGCTCCTGTTTGAACAGGGCTCGCTGTCGTTGACGCCGCGGCCGTTGCCCACTTGAGACGAAGGGTCGCCTGCCCAGCAGCGGGCGCTGTGGGTTTGGGGCGGCCTCTGCTTTTGTCAAGCAGTGGCGAAGCGTCCTGGCTCACCTATAGCCCTACCAAACTATGTTCTAAGAACCTCTTTTGGTTTCCACGAAATGATCCTAGAACATTTCTGGCGGAGCCTGTCTCGTTTCGCCACATCGGGCTTATGTCCCAAGAACATTGTTCGTGTTCTGAAAACCTTTTTGGGGCTCTGAGAACACTTCGTGGTAGGACCATAGGAATACTGGGACGGCCGGTCCCTGCCCCACAGGAGCAAACGTCGGCACACGTCGGGGGGAGGGGGTCCAGGTCTTGGGGCGTTTTTTTTGTCGGAGAGGCGCCAACGAGACGCCACCAGCCCTGGCCGGGCCCATCCTGGGCCCTGGACTGGCGCGTGGACCTCCATTAGGAGGGAAAAAACACACAGACACAATTCATCGTCGATTCCCCAGAAAATATGGGAAAATATGGGAAGTGGGGGTGAGACAACCCCCCAGAAAATATGAGAAAATATAGGGTATTTGTTTGATTTGTGTGTATTTATTTGTGTGTCCCAGGGCCCCTTCACTCCAGGCCTGGGCCAGGAGGGCCTGTACACCAGTCCAGGGCCCAGGATGGGCCTGGCCAGGGCTGGTGGTGGTGTACTGTTTGGCCGTTCTTTCGGCGCCCGCTACGGGCGCGCCAGCAGGAGGCGGCAGAGGCGGGGGCAGAGGCGGCAGGCTCGGCGGGCTCAGATCCGGGGCTTCGGGGGTGGGATTCAGAGTCGGGCCTGTCGCCCCCTACAGGGGGGAAGATTCAAAAGTAGTCAAAGAAAATAGTCTGGGGACGTTTTGTTGACCATTTTTGGGCGTGGTTGGATGATTTTTGGCTATTTTTCATTGTTCGTCCAGCATATCAGGCTACAGGGGGAAGATTCAAAGATAGTCAGACAAAATAGTCTGGGGACTATGTGTTGACAATTTTGGGGGCATGTTTGGAGCATTTGTTTGGCTATTCTGTATTGTTCGTCGCCCCCTACAGGGGGGAGATTCAAAAATAGTCAAAGACAATAGTCTGGGGACGATGTTTTGACAATGTTTGGGCATGTTTGGAACATTACTGTTCGTCCAAAGTCCCCCTGTAGGGGGACAGGCCCCACCTGAGGGTGGGAGGAGGCCTCGGGGCTGCGCACGGGCGGCGCCCCCCCCCCCCCCCCCCCAGCTAGGCCTGGCCTCAACAGGCCCTCCGAGTACCGTCGAGGCTGATCGGGCGGTCGACCCTGCCAGATCTGGGGCACCCTTGGCGTCCTGCGCTTCGTGACCCGTGCCTTCGGCATTCCCGTGGCAGTGTGGCCCTCGGGAGGGCCCTGTGTCCTCTCGCGCGCCCTCTCCAAGCGGCCTCGACTGCAGCCCTGGGCGGTCGCAGCGCCCTGGCCCGCCCCCTGGCCGGGAGAGGAGGATCGGGGGGCTCGGCGAGGGGGGCGGCCTGTGTTTGAGGGCGGCGTGCGGTCAGGCCCTGGGTTGCGCGCGCAGGCGGCCCCCCGAAATCGTATCGGCTGGCCTCGACAGGCTCCCCGAGCTGGCCCCCTGCCAGCACCTCGTCGCCCGGCAGGCTGCGCTTTGCAGCCCTCGGCAGCGCAGCCACGGAGCTGCAGCCCGGATCTCAGCGTCTTGCTGCCGCGAGCTGGTCGCTGGCCCGGCCCCTGCGGGCGCCTGGGCCTGCCCGCGTCCCGCTGGCGCCGTGCCTGCAGCAGAGCCTGTCGCCCACGGCCTCTTCTGGCGAGCACCTGGACGCCGCCCGCCTCCGCGGGATCCCTCGCCGCTCCGCCCTCCCGTGCTGGCACGACTCGGTCCACGCTTTCTGCGCCTGCAGCCTCTGCCTCCTCCTCCTCCTCCTCCTCCTCTTCCTCCTCCTCCTTCTCCTCCCTCCTCCTCACTCCTCCCTCCTCCTCCTCCTCCTCCTCCTCCTCCTCCTCCTACTCCTCCTCCTCTTCCTCCTCCTCCTCCCCATCCGGTGCCCCCCCCCCGTGTGGCCGTGGTGCCCCTCCGCGTGCACTGCCCGGCTGCCTCAGCACAGGCTGGCCGCACTGGCTCGGGTGCTGCCAGGAGTGCCCCTGGCCCAAGGTACCCCCCCAGGATCCTCAGGGTGGCCCAGGCGGCCTCCAGGGCACCCCTCACGAGGCCCAGAGGGCCCCATAGGGGCTCCAAAACGCAGCGCAAAGCTGCTGGGGGCACCTCGGGCCAGGGGCACTTCTGGCAACACCCCGGCACTGGCCACCCCAGGCAGAGGTCTCCGTGCTGCGAGCGCCCCTCCCTCCTTCTCCCGCCCTCTGCGGTCCTGCCCCGCCCCCTCTCTTGCAGCCGGACAGGCAGAGTGCGCGCGCCCGAGCCTAGCCCGGCCCACGGGGAGCGCGCGCGCGGGTGGCCGTTGTCGCTCAAGGCTCCTGTCCTGTGCCCCCGCGCTGACCATACAGACGAGAGCATCGGCAGGTTCATCGTCGCGCCCTCTCCTTTCGCCTCCTCCTTCCCCTCTCCAAAGGATGCGCTGGAAGAGAAAACAAAAAACAAGTTTTTTTCCTGTCCTTCGGTGGCGGTCCTCGAGGGCCGTTCGCGGGCCCCGGGTCCATCCGAGATGTGGATCTGGGAGGCGGGCGGGACCCCTGGGGCCGGGGATGGAAAGCCTTGTGCCGGCGGAAGCCCGGGGATGGGGCCCAGAGGTGACGGCTCTGCTCGGGCTCCCTTTCCTGGCCTCAGGGCCCCATCTCCCTTGAGGTCCGACGTAGCGGAAACATCGCAACACCGTGAAACAAGTCACGCCCGGAGCCCCAGACCCCATCGTTCTGCGCCACTTTCCGAGCCGCATCGATCTGTGAGGCTCCCGGACCCCGAAACAGCGAAACCGTCCGGCTCGAAAAAATGGAAGCGCCAGGATCTCAGAGCCCCAGGGCGCCATCCTTGAGCCGACCGGCAGGCGGCCGCGGCGGAGGCGGACGAGGATGCCCTGCTGGAGGCTGCGGCGGCCGCCGCGGCTGCGGAGCAGCCCGGCGCCCCGGCCGACGCGGCCCCGACGCGCCCCCAGGCACAAGCTCTCTGCGGCATCGACGGCTGCCAGTCGAGGGTGCGGGCTTCGGGCAGCGGTGCCGCGAGCGGCTTGTGCACCGCCCACTGGAAGGACTCGGGCTGGACGAAGCCTGAGACCCTGGCGATGCAGTTCTTTCACAATGGGCAGTTTTCGCTGAGCGTCGGGCCCGGGACCCTCACAGATCGACCCGGCTCGAAAAATGACGCGCAAAGATGGGGTCCATGGCTCGGGTCGCGATTTTTTGCGATGTTGCATTTTTTTTGCAACGTCGGATCTCAGGGAAAGGGCAGGTTAGGGAAAGGGGGGGCAACGAAATCTACTGCGTGCAGCTAGGACAACCAGCTGCGTGAGCTGATTCTCTACCCTGCCCTTCGCTATCCTACTCGTTCGTCCCCCCCGGAGGACGTGGTGAGAGAGGTCAACATGATTCAAGAAGAGGTCGGTCGGCTGCAGCGGGAGCGTCCGGGCTTGCCGCCCGGCGGCAACGCCATGCAGTTCTTCGCGGGCCCTTGGTACTGGGACATGCAGCCCCCGCATCCGCACCTCCAGATGGTCGAAGAATGGCAAACTACGGTGGGGACCTTCGTTCAGACATGCCTTGGAGGGTCCCTTATCTGATGAGGGCGGCAGTGGTATCCATGGCCAAGCTTCCATTGGTGTTCCACCTGCTGCTAGACCCTGGATGCCTTATCCAACGGTTCCTCATCCAATGCCCCCGCCGCGCGGCGGCATCGGGCGGGGGCTCGGGCGCTAGTCAGGAGAGAAAGACACACGCAGACACAACCAATCGTCGACTCCCAAAGAAAATATTACGGGAACATATGGGGAGTGGGGGGGAGACAAACACCCGGAAAACATGGGGAAATATAGGGAATCTGTTTATTTGTGTGTATTTCTTGCGAAGGCCTTACGGCCGTTGCCGCCGACCCTGAAGATGACGAAAGACAACACGAGGGGGGGGGGGGGAGGAGGAGGAGGAGGAGGAGGAGGAGGAGGAGGCGGAAGGGAGTAGGAGGAGGAAGGGTGAAGGGGGAGGAGGAGTTTATTTGTGTGTACTTATTTGTGTGTCCTGGGGCCCCTTCAGCCAGCGCCGTCGACGGCGCCCTCATCCTGCCGCCTGGCGAGGCGGTGGCAGCAGCCCACGGCCGTGCCTCGGCCGACGAGAGGCGCGGGCCCTGTCGGGGCGGCGGGGCGCCTGCCCAGAGCGGCCTCCGTGGCCGCCTCGCGTGCGCAGCGCGCCGGAGGGCACGAGTTTGTCTTTGGCACGGGCTGCTCGCCCTCGAAGAGTTCCCAGACCTCCTCGCGTCGTGAAAAAATCACGACGGGAGGTTTTTCGCTATTTTCGGCCTCCGGGGGCCCTCGCCGGGCCTCGGGAGCGTCAAAAAACGACTCGGGACGAAAAACCGGTCCCGGGGAATGGGTCGGGACCTCTGGGGGTCGCGTCATGAAAAAATCATGACGTCGGGGGTCTGGGTTCACAGACAAAAGTGCCCCGCCGTACAGAGGCACGATTTCTCGGAGGTCCACGCGGCTTTCTTGGGTCGGCGCCGGGCGCCGGACGGCTGAGATCCGTGCGGACCTCCAGGAGTGTGCAGTCGGGCCGCTGACGAAGGAACCCTTCTCGTTGGGGAGGGGTCCGGTGTGCCTTGACTGTGTTACAGCATGTCTTAGGTTTAAGTCGGGCCTGGCCCTCTACGGGGGGAATAATCCCAAAGAGTCAAAACATAGTGTGGGGACGATTTTCAAATTATTGTTTGACTATTTGAGGGTTTGTTGATTGCTTTATTTTTCGCCCAAAATCCCCCCTGTAGGGGGACAGGCCCGACTTAATCTGAGGTTCCTCCGTCTTTCTATTGGACGTCGAAGCTGAACGTATGGAAGAAAGGGGCCTCGTTCCTTGCGTAGGGTTCCCTATGACAGCGTTTCGGTTTTATGTTTGTGCTGCCTTTCTTTCCTCCCGAAGGGGCTGCGCGCCCGCGGCTTCTTCTCGGCCGTGGCCAGGAGCCTCGTGAGCAGAGGCCACAGCGCCGACGCCACGGCCCTGGTGGCTGCCTTCTCCGCGCTCTCGGCCATGGCCTTCCACCGGCGGCTCGGCTTGCGGGACTTCCCGCGCGCTGCTGACGACCGCAGGGACGAGCCAGATGCTGCCCTGCTCTTCGGACCGCTGCTCGCCGCGCTCGCGCTGGCGGACGCCGGAGTGAGGCCCCGAGGAAGCAACAGACAGCACGCAGCTCTCGAAGGTCCGCGTGTGGATTTCTCGGATCTGCCCCGGGCTCCGCACGCGGGGGAGGGGCGTCCAGCGCTGGTGCAAGAAATCCGCGCAGGCCCCCCCAAACAAGGCGGGGAAGGAGGAGGAGGAGGAGGAGGAGGATCCCCTCGACAGGACAGAAATCTGCATTCGACGGGTCGGAGTTGTTAGGCGATTTATAAAGGTAAAAGCTCCCGGCCCGCCGCGCACACCTTGCATGCCACGGTCGCCGGGCCCGAAGTCTGCCGGTGCTCCCGGGGGAGCCTGCCTCGTCGCTCTGTCGAAAGACGGCTGCACGCCGCGCCCGTCGGGGCCCGAAGTGTGCTGGTGCTCCCCTGCGGGGATCCCGCCTCGGGGTTTCCGGGCGGGGATCGCTCGAGCAGGATGATCATGCCTACAGTGAGAGCCCCTGCTCGGAAACACCCCTGCCTGCCTCCAGGGTGCCCTGGGCTTCTTGGGCTGGCACGCGCGACGCCCCCCCACACCAGAAACCAACGGCCGCCCTGGGGTCTCAGGGTCGGGCTCCTCGTGCCCAGACCCCCGACGTAATGATTTTTTCATTACGTCGACTCCAGAGTTCTCGACCCCTTCCCCAGGACCGGTTTGTCATCCTGAGTCGTTTTTTGACGCTCCCGAAGCCCGGTGAGGGCCCCCAGAGGCCGAAAATGGCGAAAAACCTCCCGTCATGATTTTTTCATTACTCGAGGGGGTCTGGGTCGTGGGAGGCTGCTGGTGGTCGAGCTCCTGCTGCGTGCGCCGCGCTCTTCTCCCGAGGCCGCCCCCGGAGCTCGCCCCTCGCTGGGAGCTGCTGGAGGCCGCCTCCGCGCCCCTGCCGCGGGGCGCGGCGGCCCGTGCTGCGGCGAGCAGCGGCGGCGGCGGCCCGGCCGACTTCGAGGCCTCGTTCGGGGAGGACGTCGGCGGCGAAGTCGGCATCCTCCAGAGAGACACCTCTCGGGCTGGGGGGCCCAGAGATCCAGCGCATTGAACAAAACGAGACGGAGGCTTTTCATGTTTCTCGGCCTCGAGGGGCCCTCGCCGGGCCCCGGGGCCGTCAAAGAATACGACTCGGGATGAGACACCGGTCCCGGGGAATGGGTCGAGGCTTCTGGGGACCCCGCATGGAAAGAATCACGACGTCGGATCTCTGGGGAGTGGGGCTCGGAGGAGTGATCTGGTCATCCCTAATTACTATCGCGTCTGTGGACCGGGCTCATGGCACAGTCGTGCCCTGTGCCTTCCTCAGCCCCCGTCTCCCAACACGTTCGTTGTCCTTTATCCGCACGATGAATGGGCGCTTGGGAATCGATACGTCCACCCCTGAGCCCATTCTTCCCCAGCGTTGCCCCTGAGACTGGGAGGAGGGGGAAGAGGAGCAGGAACGCAGGACCCAGCTCTCGGGCCGATCGGTCCTGTCGGCTGCAGCCTTGTCTGCACAACCTCTCTGTGCCGTCCCAGCCCCTGTCTCCCAGCACGTTCCTCGCCTTCCTCGGGCCTGCCCCCGCCGCTCCGCGGTGCGGGCAGCTCGAGGGGCCACGGGGGCAGGGCCCGGGATCCGTCGAGCGCGTGGCGAAAGCCCTCGCTCTGGGAGGGCATCGGCGGCATCCTGCCCTCGCCGTTCAGCGATTCGGGCAACTCGATGGGCGGCGGGGGTAATTAGGGTTATGTCGGGCGTGTCCCCGTACAGGGGGCTTTTCGACGAAAACTAGAAAATACCCCAAAACTGCCTCCAAAAGATGAACAAATATTAAACAATAGTCCACAGACTATTTTTGGACTATTGTTTGATTCTTTTTGGGGTATCTTTTTATTCTTCGTCGAACATCCCCCTGTGGGGGGACAGGCCCGAGTTAAGGGTAGGGCTCGGGAAGCCGATGGCTTGTAGGGGGTAGGGTGCGGAGCCACCTAGAGGACAGCTGCGCGGCGGCCGCGTTCTGGAAGGCGGAGGCCGGAGGGCGCCACGGCTAAGCACAAAGGCCCCCCGCGTGCCTTGGGATCCTGGCCTGGCAACCGTGTCTTCGCTCCCAGCGTTAAGTCGGGCCCGTCCCTCTGCAGGAGGAATGTTCAAAAATGGTCAAAAAATAGTCGGGGGACTATGTGTCGGGTATTTTTCGACCATTTTTGCGTATTTTCTGACTCTATTTTGCATTTTTCGTCCAAGACCCCCTGCAGGAGGACAGCCCCGACTTAATCCCAGCGTTTTCGCCTGGTTTCGGCCCCGGGACCCTCGCGCATCGCTCTGGCTCGAAAAAATGCCGCAGGATGATTTGGCCTCGGGCTCTGGTCTGGCCTCCTCGCGAGGTCGCCACGGCCTCGCAGCGCGTCGGTCCCGCGCGGGGCCAGAGCAGGCGAGGTCGGAGGGAGGGGCCGCATCGCGGATGCATCGGCGCTGCGGCACGGTCGAGTCCCACTCTCTCCATCCCAGCGCCACGTGTGAGTCGGCGATTCATCGGCGATGCTGTCGCTGGCCCCCTGTGGGAGGCCTCTGGGCCCCAGGCTGTGCCCAGGAGGGAACAGATACAAGTCGTCGACGATGCCCCAGAACACATGGGAAACTGTGGGAAGTGTGGGGGGGAAGACAAAAGCCCAGCAGATGTGGGAGAATATGGGAACTCCCGTCATTTGTGTCCATTTACTTGTGCGTCCCAGGGCCCCTTCATAGACGCGCACCGGCCCTGACCAGGCCGGCGTGGTGCCCGGGGAGGGGCCTGGCCAGGGTTGGTGCGGGCGTGTGGCGTCGGCGCACCCTCCCGCGAGGGCAACCGTGCACTCCGCGATGGAGATGCAGATGCTGCCATCGCTCATTACAGGAGCGGCCGGAGCCTCGTGCTGAAGGTAATGACGCCCCAGGCTCGTCAGTTGCTGGCGGACTTGAACAATAACGACGCTGCAGCATGCTTGCGGCAGGATCGACTCGAAGAGGCGGTTCAAGCTGCTTCGGAGGCGCTCTCGGTGATGCCTGACGGGAGCAATTGCGCAAAGGCGAAAGCATTGTTCAGGCGAGGGTGCGCCTCAATGATGCTTTCGCCACCTGGGCACAACGATCATGAAGCAGCAGGGGTGGACTTGAGAGAGGCTCTGGAACTGATGCCGGCTGACGAGGGCATTCGTGAAAAATTTCACGAGTGGAGGGTGCAGCGAGATCGCGCGGCGGCACGGCAGTAAGCGGGGCTCCGACTCTTCCATCAAGCAGCAGGTGGAGCGCAGGTAGCAGATACTTAATTGCAAGCCCTCCGTGGCCCGTCTGGCTGGCTGGGCCCCCAGCCTTGCCACAGATCCGCGCCATGCTGTCCCACGTACTGGTGACGCCTTCTGACCCCCGTCAGAGTGAGGGCCTTCTGTTCCCCGTCGTCTCCGTGCAGGCTGGAAGGGAACTCGTCCCATTCGGCCTTTAAACACGCACTCAAGAGTTCTTTTAGGTCAGTGGAGACGTTCAGCCTGAAAAAGGTGATCCAACGCTCGAGCCCGCGTTCAGGCCGCCGAGCGCAGGGGCAGCGCGTGCATTGATAGGCGACTGCGAGGATGACTTCTCTTAGCTTGGGTGCACGAGGTTTGCGCAGCACGTTTGCATCACCCAGTCCTTGCCAGCATGTTTGCCCGTGGCTTGCGCGTCCAATCCAGGAGGGCAAGTTCCATGGTCACGGCCGCATGGAGTGGAATATGAAGAATGGCCTCATGGTATACGAGGCATGCTGCCTCTGGGGATGCTTGGAGAAGGATAGGCAGGCGGAGGAGTTATGGGACAGGCGATGCTATCCTGTCGGTGCCATTAGCAGCTGCTGCGGATACAAGTTTCCCAACAAGTGGCTGGGGCAGCATGTTGCAAGAGTTTGACAGGGATGATCATTCCGCCGAGCACCCGGCAATTCCTCCTGACGGGGAGCGCCACGTGCACGTCATCAATGATCCCAGCATCCGCCGCGCTCGCGTTGAAGCCGACGCTTCGGTGCCTGGATGTCTTGCGTCAGGCCGTCTTCTTCGAAAGCCATCGGAAGGGGGGAACTTGAGAGAAGGGCCGCAGTCAGGGAGAGAGAGAGAGAGAGAGGGCGAGAAAGATAGAGGGCGAGAAAGAGCGAGAGAGAGAGAGAGGGAGAGATAGAGCGAGACAGCGGGGGGGGCGGGCGGGGGCGTGAAAGCGAGAGAGAGAGAGAGAGCCAGAGGGAGGGAGAGAGAGAGAGAGAGAGAGCGAGAGCCAGAAAGCGACAGAGAAGGGGTTGTACGATCCATACACAGAAAGAAAGGTCGTCTAGAAAGAGAGAGAGAGAGAACAACAACAAGCGAGAGAGAGAGAGAGAGAGAGAGCGAGAGAAAGAGAGAGGGAGAGAGAGTCAGAAAGAGACAGACAATGTAATAGACTTCCTATACGCAGAGAGAGAGGGACACTTCTACGTATACGTACACGCATATATATACATACACACAGAAAGATAGAGATCGAGAGAGGGAGGGAGGGAGAGAGAGAGAGAGAGAGCGCGAAAGAAACAGCGATATACATATAGAGAGAGGTAATGCGAGAAAGAGAGGGAGAGATGAAGAGAGGGACATACGATCAGTACATACCGATCAGGGGTAACTAGAGAGAGAGAGAGAGAGAGAGAAACAAGAGAGAGAGGGAGAGAGAGAGAGAGAGTGAGAGAGAGCGAGAGCGAGAGCGAGAGAGAAGAGAAAGGGAGACGGAGAGAAAGAGATAGAGAGAGAGGGAGGGAGCGAGAGGAGGGAGGAAACCATAGAGACAGAGATATATAGCAAGAGAGAGGAAGTGAAACAACTATATATATGGTTACATCTTACATACATGCAGGAGGAGGTACATACATAAACATAGGTGTAGTTCGAGAAACAGAGAGAGAGTAAGAGAGCGAGAGAGAGAAAGAGAGAGAGAAATGAGAGAGTCAGAGCGAGGGCGTGAGGCAAGAGAGAGGGATACATTTTTATATATATACATAGAGAGAGAGGGAGAGTTGGGGTGGGGACGGGGGAGGGAGAGAGAGAGAGAGAGAGCGAGAGCCAGAGAGAGAGAGAGAGAGCGAGAGAGATTGAGAAGAGAGAGAGAGAGAAAGAAAGAGAAAGAGCGAGATAGCGGAAGTACATGTGCGCAACTAGAACGATATACATGTGTGTATATATAGATAGAGAGAGAGTGCAAGAGAGACGATAGAGAGACAGCGAGAGACATATTTGCACATATGCATACACACATAAACAAGGAGAAGGAGAGGGGGGAGAGAGAGAGAGAGAGAGAGCGACAGAGAGAGAGAGAGAGTGAGAGAGCGGCAGAAAGAGAGAGAGAGAGAGAGCTTGAAGGGACCTGGCACCACTCCACTCAGCTCCTCGCGGCACGGTAGCGGATATTGCAGGTAACACGGGGCGTGTCAGTTGTCATGCGTCAGACGCAAATCTGTCCGTGTCGGAGGGTGCATCTTATTGCTTGCAACGTATGCAGCTGGGAAGACATGCGGCACAACGCTCGAAGAAGACTCTCATCGATCTTCGGCCGATAATGATCCACCTGGTGATGTCATTATCTTCCCGTTGCAGTCTTCAAAGACATCGGGAGAGACGGGTCGAGGTGTGCTTGGACACAATTTCTTCAATGCTCGAGGTCGGCCTTCGTTTAGAGCAAGAGGCGTATTGAAACAGTGCCACCTGCGTGCGAATATTTGCAGGACGTCTAGGTGTGCACGCGGCTACGAGAACGCTTCACCGCAGCCGTTCCTCGGGACTTTCAAAACCGTGTCCTTTCGGCCACGGTTCGATTTCAAGCAGGGCCATCTTCGTTCTTCTCCCAGGGTCCATTTTGATCCGATCGATCCGATCCGATGTCGGTTCCGGCCGGCTCGATCCGATCCAGTTCGATTCAGGTATTCAGGCATCACATGACGTTGTGCATCTTGGCGCAACCGATCCGATTCGATCTGGGCGCCGTGCTGATGCAGCCCGATTCGACGCACATTCCGATGCCATCCGATTTGCCGACTCGATGCTGACTGATCCTGACGCATCAGGGTCAGTACATTGACGACCTGAAACACGGCAAGGGCAAGTACACCTGGCCCGATGGCCGGGCGTACGACGGCGAGTGGAAGAAGGGGCAGCGCTGGGGCAAGGCGACGGCCGACGCAAGGAGTGGCAAGCGCGGGGCGACGGAGGGTCGCCCTCCTTCTGCTCATCCCCCCCTCCCACTTCCGCTCCTCCGGACGAGGCCTGCTCTTGGCTTCGCCTTCGGCGCAGTCAAGCCGCATCTGGAGCCTGGAGGAGGAGTAAGTTCCCAAGGGTAGTGGAGGACGACGATTCATAAATGACCGGGGGTTGTGTTCACGCGGCGGCGCCCGGGATGACGATTAGAAAAATCCGGCCGCGGGCTGGAAACTATTTTTTTTGTCTTTCTCCTCCAGTCAGAAAGCTGTGCAGAAATAGCCGGAAGCAATTGTTTCGATCGTCCTCTCCCATTTTTTACCAGTCGTCATCCCGCGTTACCCTCGCGTCCTTGCCCCCTACATCCCTGCCCTGCGTCTCCAGGGGCCGTGGCCTTCCGGCCGCGCCTCCCGCCTTGGCGCTCTTAAAAGGGGCCCCGACGCCCGAAGGCGTGCTGCTCGATCTCTCCGATCCGCTCGGGCGGGCGTTCCGCCCAGGTGGGGGGTGAAGAACATCGGGGGCGGAAAACCCAGACCTCCTCGAGTCATGAAAAAATCACGACGGGAGGTTTTTCGCTATTCTTGGCCTCTGAGGGCCCTTACCGGCCCTCGGGACCGTCAAAAAACGACTCAGGACGAAAAACCGGTCCCGGGGAATGGGTCTGGACCTCTGGGGGTCGCGTCATGAAACAATCATGACGTCGGGGGTCTGGGAAGAGGGGGGTGATGACTAGGGGGGGGGTGGATATCATGGCGTGGGCCATGATATTTTCCCCAGATTTCGTGGCGCCTCTTCTCACTTCGTTGCGTTCCTGGCCCCCCCGCTGGGCCGCGCACGTGCCGCCGGTCATGATTTGCACCCCCCCCTCTCGGACACCCCCCTCTTGGCCGCTCCCGAGAAAAGGGCCCTAACGGGGCCCTTTGGGGCTCCTTTTGGAGCCAGCTGGTGCCCGAAAGGGGCCCCAAAGGGGCCCTTTTCTGCACCCCCTCCGGGCGTCGCCCCCCACTATTACCGCCCGCCCGATCCGCGTCTCCAGAGGCCCCGACCGCTTCCCCCAGAGCTGTTTCCTCTCGTCTCGGGGGGGCCCGGAGGCCGGAGTCGAGGGAAAAGGCGCCCGGATTCAAAAGAGGCTATTTTTTTTCATGATGTGGGTCCTCAACGCTCGTCGTCGTCGTCGTCGTTGTCGCCGCCGTCTTCGTCGACGTCGTCGTCGCCGTCGTCGTCGTTGTCGTCGTCGTCGCCGTCGTCGTCGTCTTCGTCGTCGTCACCGTCGTCGTCGTCGTCGTCGCCGTCGCCATCGTCGTCGTCGTCGCCGCCGCCGTCGCCGTCGCCATCGTCGTCGTCGTCGTCGTCGCCGTCGTCGTCGTCGTCGTCGCCGCCGTCACCGTGCATCCGCACGCGTTCTCGCTCCCACGCATGCGGATGCAGTTCGCCCGCATGCGTTCTCGTTCCCACGTGAGCTCCCTCGGCTCGCCGTGCCGTCCCAGCTCTTCTCGCCCGCCTGCCCTTGGCCCCTCCCTGCGAGCCCCCCCGGTGGGCTCGAGCGTTTCGGTGCGGCTCCTCCTCCTCCTCCTCCTCCTCCTCCTCCTCCTCCTCCTCCTCCTCCTATTTCTCATATTCCTCCTCCTCCTCCTCCTCCTCCTCCTATTCCTCCTATTCCTCCCCCTCCTCCTCCTCCTCCTCCTCCCGCCAGAGCAGAAGTGGTGGTGAGTCGGGGGGGTCGCCGTGCCCCGTTGGTCGTGGGCAGAGTCGCCACCGGAGGTGAACAAGAGCAAAAGAAAATCGTCCTCCTCATCCTCCTTTCCTTTCCCAGGCCCCCTCGCGTTGTGAAGAACCGTAGCCATTTTGGCTCAAGACTAAACGTGTGAAGGTAACGTGACATACCGAACCACGATTAGCTTTGGGTGCTTCCGTTGGCATTTCCCGAGCTATTTGTGCAACCACGGCCAGGCGTTGCGCTGGACCGTGGTCTATTCGTGTGAGCTCCTGCTGGAGCAACCGTTCCCCAGCCAGATGTCTTGGCGAGCCCG